ACTTTTTGTCGCCAGCAGTGACTCCACCGTTGTGCCCTCTGCAGGACTGGACAGTTTGCTCGAGCTTCTTGCCCTGATGTGCGCAGCAGAAAGCATAGGCCTGTTGTCCTTATGTTCGGTCTGCACTGTTTGACTGATTTGAACGCGAGGTAAAGAGCCCCAGCTGGCCCATGTCCCCAGTCGCCGCAGTTGTTACCAGAGCAGCAGTGAAGTGCAGACGTTTTGCTCGGTGCTCACAAGTTGGCTTCCAATGTATGGCTCGCGCTATCGGGGAGGGAATCAGGGAAAGACTTGCTCAGATGACAGCTTTGACATTGCTTGGTTCGGTTGGCAGTGGGTGTCCAGCTTGACTTCCACATTGAGCTTGTTGCTTGAGAGGGTTGGCAGGCCGCCGGTTGTGCTTTTGCCTTTTAGTATCCAACATTAGCTGCTCAGTGCTGGCTGTGGGAAAGCCACGCTTGCTGGGCACCAGGCTGAAGCTTGCTAGCCACGCTCTGCAGGCGCAAAGATGCGCAGAGGCTACGTGGATTTTGGATATGGCGCCCAAGACCAGCAAGTCCCCAAGAGACGACTGCACCCGAGTCTCAAGTCGCTGTTGTCAGTGCCTGAGCTGTGCAAAGTGCAAGGGCCTTCCTCGGTGCGAGCACACAATTTGTGTTTCCTCTTTGTTGTGTGAGCTGACCTGCCATGTTGGACACGATGCTTGCTACAAAGTCTGACTGGTGGTCGAAACGCTGGAGAAGGGAAGCATGCGTCTTGGCGTGCACGCTGTGCTGCACCTTGTGCCTACCCAGCCTGTTTCTTGGCTGGCATGTGGTCGATGCGCTATGAGTACAGATCGCCATAGGCACGTCCAAGTCTGCGGTGACACTTCGGGTTTCATGTTGTCATGCACGTAGCAGAGGATTTCTTGCCTACAAGAGTCAGAGAACAATTGGAGAGCAAGCAGCTGCAGTACATCAGATGAGGTTTCATTGCAGCACCTGGAAGCCGGAGGTCGTGTTTTCACTTGTGTCGCCCTGTCAATACCACATCATTGGTTTTACAAGCTTTTTACCTTGATGAGCTTTCAAGTTCCGGTGCCTGTTGCTTCCAAAGTATGGCTCACGCTCTTGCGAGGTTTTAAGGGAGCTCGTACAGGGACTTGCTCAGGCAGATGACAGCTTTGGGGCTGTCAGTGTCTAAGCCATGCCCAAAGTTCATAATCTCCAAAGTGCACGTGGCTTGTTAGTTACAGCGTTGCCCCACAAGTGTCCAGCGAGTGTCCAGCATGCTTGACTGTTGCATTCAGCTTGTTGCTAGAGAGGATTGGCAGACCGCTGGTTGTGTTCTCTTCGCCTTGCAATATCCAACATGAGTTGCTGGGCACCAGGCGGTCTTGCCAGGCTCTGCGGCCACAGAGATGCGCAGAGGCTACTTGTTTTTGGATTTGTCGCCCTAACCAGCAAATCCCCGAGAGACCACTGCACTCGAGTCCCAAATCGTTGCTCAGTGCCTGAGCTTCGCGAAGTGCCTGTGGCACCTTTCTTGGTGCGAGCACACAAGTTCTGTTTCGTCTTGGCTAAGTGAGCTGACTTGCCATGTTAGACACGATGCTTGCTACAAAGTCTGACTAGTGGTCAATGCGCCTGAGAAACTGTGCAGGAAGGCATTCTGCTTGGCATGCACCATGTGCTGCACCTTGTGCCTACCAGGCCTTGTCGTCAGCATACGACAGAACCAAAACATGGAAAGCATGTTTCTTGGCCGGCATGTGGTTGATGCGTCATGAGTGCAGATCGTCGCGTGTAGGTCCAAGTCTGAGGTGACACTTGGGCTGTCCTGTGGTCAGTCAAGTAGCCGAGAGTATGTGTCACACAAGATTCAGAGATAACAAGAAACAACGAAGCCACTGCAGTGTGTCAGATCAGGTCGTTTTGCAGCATGTGGGAGCCAAAGGCCGTGTTTTCAGTTGTGTCGCCCGACAATGCTGGATCATTGGCTTGACAAGCTATTTACCTTGATGAGCTTTCAAATTTATCTGCCTGTCGCTTCCAACGTATGGTTCGCGCTCCCAGATTTCAAGGTTGCTCGCGCACAGACTTTCTCAGACAGATGACAGCTTTGACATCGGATTCGGTGGATTAATAGTCCATCAGGGGAGCAGCGAGCTGTTTCAGGGTTTCCTCCATTTCCCAATGGACACCACCAGTAAATTGCAACTGTTGAAGGGGAATTCCAGTGACCCCTGTTCAGCATCGTAGTTACAAGTTGCTTTTTCTCCGTGATGCTTGAACTGGCCTGCCATGTTGGACGCAATCCCTGCTAGCAAGGCTGACGGGCTTCCCCCGGTCTCGCTACAGGAGCATGACGAACCCGTAGCACGCAGCGACTCCGCCTTTGAATTCTTTCCCCCGCGCAATTCGCGCGAGCTGTTTGCCCCGTCATGCGAAGCCGGCAAGAGGCAAGGCAAAGATTAGGGCACACGGTTGAACTGCCAGTTTCCATACGAAATCCCGACATATGATGTTGGGCTGACAGGCTGCGCAGGGCGGGCAGACTGTTGCACTGCTGCCTCTGGTTGCCACCTGGTGTGGCCATCAGCAGACAGCAGCGCCAGAGCATGTTGCTTTCCTGGCATGTGTTTTGCGCGGCTTAAGCGCAGGTAATTAGTCAAAGCGCGGTGAGTCCAACGCCGGGCCAGCGGAGCGTCGTTGGGGGAAATTCGGCATGACTACTTTTTGTCGCCAGCAGTGACTCCACCGTTGTGCCCTCTGCAGGACTGGACAGTTTGCTCGAGCTTCTTGCCCTGATGTGCGCAGCAGAAAGCATAGGCCTGTTGTCCTTATGTTCGGTCTGCACTGTTTGACTGATTTGAACGCGAGGTAAAGAGCCCCAGCTGGCCCATGTCCCCAGTCGCCGCAGTTGTTACCAGAGCAGCAGTGAAGTGCAGACGTTTTGCTCGGTGCTCACAAGTTGGCTTCCAATGTATGGCTCGCGCTATCGGGGAGGGAATCAGGGAAAGACTTGCTCAGATGACAGCTTTGACATTGTTTGGTTCGGTTGGCAGTGGGTGTCCAGCTTGACTTCCACATTGAGCTTGTTGCTTGAGAGGGTTGGCAGGCCGCCGGTTGTGCTTTTGTCTTTTAGTATCTAACATTAGCTGCTCAGTGCTGGCTGTGGGAAAGCCACGCTTGCTGGGCACCAGGCTGAAGCTTGCTTGCCACGCTCTGCAGGCGCAAAGATGCGCAGAGGCTACGTGGATTTTGGATATGGCGCCCAAGACCAGCAAGTCCCCAAGAGACGACTGCACCCGAGTCTCAAGTCGTTGTTGTCAGTGCCTGCGCTGTGCAAAGTGCAAGGGCCTTCCTCGGTGCGATCACAAAAATTGTGTTTCCTTTTTGTTGCGTGAGCTGACTTGCCATGTTAGACACGATGCTTGCTACCAAGTCTGACTGGTGGTCGAAGCGCCTGAGACAATGTGCAGGGAAGCATGCTTCTTGGCGCGCACGCTGTGCTGCACCTTGTGCCTACCCAGCCCGTTTCTTGGCTGGCATGTGGTCGATGCGCTATGAGTACAGATCGCCATAGGCACGTCCAAGTCTGCGGTGACACTTCGGGTTTCATGTTGTCATGCACGTAGCAGAGGATTTGTGGCATTGGAGAGCAAGCAGCTGCAGTACATCAGATGAGGTTTCATTGCAGCACGTGGAAGCCGGAGGTCGTGTTTTCACTTGTGTCACCCTGGCAATACCAGATCATCGGCTCGACAAGCTGTCTACCTTGATGAGCTTGCGAGTTTCGGTGCCTGTTGCTTCCAACGCATTACTCACGCTTTTGCCAGGTTTTAAGGATGCTGGCGCACGGACCTGCTCAGGCAGATGACAGCTTGACACATTGTTGGATTCGATGTCTTGGGCTATCAGTGTCTGAGCCGTGTCCCAAAGTTCAAAACCTCCAAAGTGCCCGTGTTGGTAGTTACAGCGTTGCCCTACAAGTGCCCAGCGAATGTCCAGCATGCTTGACTGCCACATTCAGCTTGTTGCTAGAGAGGGTTGGCAGGCCGCCGGTTGTGTTTTTCGTTGCGAGGCAACGCTTGCTGGCTGCCAAGCTGATGTTGGCTTGGCATGTTCTGGCGAGACATGTTCATTGTTTTTGTCACTCGAGCAAGACCAAAAGCCAACAGGCTCACTGAGCCTCCCAAGTCGCAGCTGTTTGTGCCTGAGCTATGAGCCGGAGCAACAGTTGTGCCCTAGAGCGGAAGCAAAATTCAGGCAGCGCCTTGCGCTCTTCAAGCGCTCACGTTATGTTTTCTATGTGTTGCTTGAACTCAGCTGCCAAGTTGGACGTGACTTTTGCTAGAAGAGCCGACTTGTTCTCGAAGCAGATGAGCAGCTGTGCAAGAAGGATTGCTGACTGGCTCACCCCATGCCCAGCACTCTTTGCTTTTCCGGCAGTGCCATTTGGGTGCATCCGCACCACGAAATTTAGACGGCGTAGGTCACCGTAAGTAAGGCCAAGAATGCTGCGACACATGAGCCTGCTTGTTGTCAGTCAGGCAGCAGAGGATTCGTTGCATACAAGGGTCAGAGATAACAAGAAACGGCCGAACAGCGGCATTGCGTCAGATCAGATTGTTTTGCAGCACATGGGAGAGGAAGGCCGTGTTTTCACTTTTGTTGCCCTGGCAATGCCGGATCATTTGCACAAGCTGTGAACCCTGATGTGCTTTCAATTTCCCATGCCTAGTGCTTCCAACGTGTGGCTCCCGCTCCCACCCGGTTTGAAGGTTGCTCGCCCGCAGACTTGTTCACGCAAAAGACTGCTTTGGCGTTGTCAAGTTCGGTAGATTGGCTCTTGGGCCGACAGCGAGGCATTGGGTTTTTTTGCTAGGTAGTCACCGCGTTGCCCAACAAGTGCCCAGCGAGTGTCCAGCATGCTTGACTGCCACATTCAACTTGTTGCTGGAGAGGGTTGGCAGTCCGCTCGTCGTGTTTTTTGTTCGCCTCGCAATATCCAACATGAGTTGCTGGGTGCTGGGTTTGGGCAAGCCACGCTTGCTGACCGCCAAGCTTCAGCTTGCTTGCCGCGCTCTGCGGGCGCAGAGATGCGCAGAGGCTACGTGTTTTTTTGGATTTGTCGCTCGAACCAGCAAATCCTCACAAGACCACTGCACCGGAGTCTCAAGTCGTGGCTGTCAGTGCCTGAGCTGTGGAAAGTGCAGGTGGCACCTTTCTCGGTGCGAGCAGGAAAGTTCTGTTTCGTCTTGGTTAAGTGAGCTGACTTGCCATGTTAGACCCGAAGCTTTCCCAAGTTGCAGCTGTCTGTGCCTGAGCTATGAGCCGGAGCAACAGTTGTCCCCTAGAGCCGAAGCAAAGTTCAGGCAGCGCCTTGCGCTGTTCAAGCGCTCAAGTTTTGTTTTCTATGTGTTGCTTGACCTCAGCTGCCAATTCGGACGTGATTTTTACTAGAAGAGCCGACTGGTTCTCGAAGCAGATCACCCCATGCGTTGCACTCTCCACTTTTCCGGCCTTGCCATTTGCGTGCATCCGCACCACGAAATTTAGTGCTTGGCATGTCTTTCATGTGGCTTGGGCGCAGGTCACCGTAGGTACGACCAAGAATGCTGCGACACATGAGCCTGCCTGTTTGTCAGTCAGGGCTCAAAGCTCGCAAGCGCCCACTGCAGGCGAAGCACGACACAGCCAAATACATACAGCATGAGACCGCCGGGTCTTTAAGGAAGGCAGGTCATTGTGTCACACGTCCGATCCCGACAGCCCCGGTCGGAAGGCAAGCGCCGTGGAAGGCGTGGCCGAGCAGCTGAGCGGCTCGCGGGAGCCGAAGGCTGTGTTTTCAGCTTTGTTGCCCTTGCAATGCCGGATCATCTGCACAAGCTTCTTATCCTGATGTGCTTTCAATGTCCCATGCCTGTTGCTTCCAACGTATGGCTCCCGCTCCCGCCCGGTTTGAAGGTTGCTCGCGTGCAGACTTGTTTGCCCTACTTTGTGCGGGCAGGTGCTTAGGCTTTGTCGTGCGTGATCAATGTCCAGAGCGCCCGCAGCACCCATGCCTCAAGTCGCTGCTGTTTGAGCCGTCAGCTGGAGGTGCAGTGGCTCAGCACGGCATTGCAGTGCGGGTGTGTGACCTGTAGCAAGCAGTGACGAAATGCTAACTGGCACAATGTGCTGGGCATTAGTGGGTATCCGGCCTGCATATCAGCAAAAACGTGCGCCAGAGCACTGAGCTCTGGTATATCCTCAGTGCGGCTTGCAGGTAGCTGTTTGCAACGGGTGTTCGTGTTGGGTCATGTCGGGTGTGACACTTGAGTGGTGTTTATTTGTTTCCCGCTCAAGCAAACATGTCTAGAGGTGGACACATGAACAAACAAGCTGGAAGAGTCGACTGGTGCCTTTCCGGCCATGCCATCAGCGTGCAACCGAGCCATAAGCTCGGCAAAGGACGCTGCGAAGATATACCATAAGCTTGGCAAAGGCGACACATGGGAGCCAAAGGCTGTCATTTCACCGTTGTTGCCCTGGCAATGCCATAAGCTCGGCCATTTCACGAAGGCAATACCATGCAAAGGACGCTGCGAAGATACACTAAGACGCCGCCTCTCAGCCGTGGGCTTTTGAAACAAGCAAGACCAGGGTTTTGCGCGAAGGAGACCCACTTGGCAATGACGCCAAATTAGTCAATCCGTAAAGGGCACAGTGCCGGTGCGTGACCTGTAGCAAGCAGTGACGCAATGTTGCCCGCACTGTGCTGGGCATCGGCAGCAGGTATCCGGCCTTATCCTCAACGCGGCTTGCAGGTAGCCGTCGGCGACACAGAAGCACCCCCCGTGCCGTGGCCGGTCTGCCATCTCCACGTGGTCCCCCCGAGCCTGCCGCAGTCAGGGGCGAAGTTTAGAAGGTCCGGCACTACCTTTGTCGTTACCACCTCCGCGTGTAAGAGAGTCGCGCGACTGGCGCTTCCCCGCATGAAGCCCGTTGTACCTCTGACCGACGATTGAGGGAGTGGAAGTGGGGCGGTTGCGCTTCGAGCCACTCCATGGACTACCTGGATGGGTGGTGATGAGGCTAGCCAGAGGATGAGGGCTACGAGGGCATTTTGCCCGTCGCAAATCGTTTGTGTAGGCAAATTAGTTTCAGCAGGAGACAGCCCCGGCTGTCACATATTTGAGGCTGAGGCGGCAGCTTTCTTTGACTGCCATTTTTGAGGAAGTGCCGTCTACTGATGACTTCGCTCTGGCTAAGCCTAAGTCGATGTGGTCTACCTGGCCCATTCCCTTCCAAAACAAGTCCCGTGAAGAGGACGCTGCGGAAGGTGTGCGGCTTGAATGTCCATATCACGACATAGTTTCCTTGGAACTTTGGTCACCGCCAGGAACGAAAACCACCCCTTCCATTTGCCCCGCCAAACAGAATGTGAACGGTGCCCCCCGCCCCCCTCCAGGTACGGTAGGGGGAATTTGCCGCATTGGAGCGAATCGGTGAAACATTCCAAGGTCTCTCGGGAAAAGCCATCACAAGTTGATGCAAGTCTCTGTCTTTCCAGTAGGCGCATAGGGAGCCGAGTGATGCGCCTGAGATTGGCGTTCCCGCTGCGTCGTAATGTTTGAAACTGCCACCAAACCGCCGCCGCCCTGATGCTCAGGGCCGCGGCATGCGCGCTATTCTGACAGAAGGCCCAGAATGCTCAGAGCAACACGCCGCAATTCTTGAAAAGCTTTCCAGGCTTTCCAGTCGTGTCTCTCAAGGCAGGTGGGACATTGCACCCTAGTATTTTGAGCGTGCAACGGCAAAAGGAGCGTGCTAGTGTTGCCCAGCGTGGTATCAGGGTACAGCAAGACGTTCATGGCCGACACGCAACGAAGCCGAAACGCAGTGGCTGTGTTTGTTTGTCTGTGTGTGTGTGTGTGTGTCTGTGTGTCTGTGTGTCTGTGTGTCTGTGTGTCTGCGTGTCTCTGTGTCTCTGTGTCTCTGTGTCTCTGTGTCTCTGTGTCTGTGTGTGTGTCTGTGTGTGTCTGTGTGGGTGTCTGTGTGTGTCTGTGTGTGTCTGTGTGTGTCTGTGTGTGTCTGTGTGTGTCTGTTTGTGTTTGTGTGTGTCTGTGTGTGTCTGTGTGTGTCTGTGTGTGGCTGTGTGTGTCTGTGTGTGGCTGTGTGTGTCTGTGTGTGGCTGTGTGGCTGTGTGGCTGTGTGGCTGTGTGGCTGTGTGGCTGTGTGGCTGTGTGTCTGTGTGTCTGTGTGTCTGTGTGTCTGTGTGTCTGTGTGTCTGTGTGTGTCTCTGTGTCTCTGTGTCTCTGTGTCTCTGTGTCTCTAAGTCTCTGTGTCTCTGTGTCTCTGTGTCTCTGTGTCTCTGTGTCTCTGTGTCTCTGTGTCTCTGTGTGTCTCTGTGTGTCTCTGTGTGTCTCTGTGTGTCTCTGTGTCTCTCTGTGTCTCTGTGTCTCTGTGTCTCTGTGTCTCTGTGTCTCTGTGTCTCTGTGTCTCTGTGTCTCTGTGTCTCTGTGTCTCTGTGTCTCTGTGTCTCTGTGTCTCTGTGTCTCTGTGTCTCTGTGTCTCTGTGTCTCTGTGTCTCTGTGTTTCTGTGTCTCTTTGTGTCTGTGTGTCTGTGTGTCTGTGTGACTGTGTGTCTGTGTGTCTGTGTGTCTGTGTGGTGTCTGTGGTGTGTGTGTGTGTGTCTGTGTGTCTGTGTGTCTGCGTGTCTGCGTGTCTGCGTGTCTGCGTCTCTGCGTCTCTGCGTCTCTGCGTCTCTGCGTCTCTGCGTCTCTGCGTCTCTGCGTCTCTGCGTCTCTGCGTCTCTGCGTCTCTGTCTCTGTCTCTGCGTCTCTGCGTCTCTGCGTCTCTGCGTCTCTGCGTCTCTGCGTCTCTGCGTCTCTGCGTCTCTGCGTCTCTGCGTCTCTGCGTCTCTGCGTCTCTGCGTCTCTGCGTCTCTGCGTCTCTGCGTCTCTGCGTCTCTGCGTCTCTGCGTCTCTGCGTCTCTGCGTCTCTGCGTCTGCGTCTCTGCGTCTCTGCGTCTCTGCGTCTCTGCGTCTCTGCGTCTCTGCGTCTCTGCGTCTCTGCGTCTCTGCGTCTCTGCGTCTCTGCGTCTCTGCGTGTCTGCGTCTCTGCGTGTCTGCGTCTGCGTCTGCGTCTGCGTCTGCGTCTGCGTCTGTGTCTGTGTCTGTGTCTGTGTCTGTGTCTGTGTCTGTGTCTGTGTGTCTCTGTGTCTTTGTGTCTGTGTCTCTGGTATTAGGCACCCCCTAAAAATACTCATTTTTGGACTCGTTTTTGGACGCTGCGGCTGCGGGAGATGCTACAAAAACCCGCGAAAGACTTCAATCTTTTTGGGAAGACCATTTTAGTGGTAAATATAAAGTTTGGACTTTTTTTGGGCCATCCTCTCAGCCAGTGAGCTTATAAGGGTGGGCCCAGCACAAAACGTATGCACATGTTCTGCTCATGGTCCGCGCATCATCTGCTCATGGTCGGCGGCGTGGGGCGCACTGCCTTATACCTGAAGGTAAGCCCTCCAAACTTGGCCTGCGGCCCGATCACGTCCGGTGGCCGAATTTACACGCTGACACGCCTTCCCGTTCTTTCATGTCCTTTCCCGCCAAGTGCTGTTAGTTCTCGGGATGATTTGAACTTTACTGCCTTTGCGTGTTTTTCCTGACAGTTTCCTGGCATGTCCCTTCACTTCCTTCCACTTCACTGCCGTTTCAGCTCCCTTCATTTCCTTGAAAACTCCTTTATTCGCATTCCTTTCCCTTTTCGTTCCCGCTGTCCGGTTCCCTTCGCGTTCTGCCCTTGCATTTTGCTGCATCTCGGTTTCTCTCCAGTGCCCTCTTCATTTTCGTGCAATTCCTTTGACTTTCATTTCGTTCACTTCCAGTCACTCCTGTTTCCTTGCATTTCCCCTTCAGCCCCTTGTTTCGCATCGCCAGCATGCACAGCATCCTCCGCATCATCCGCATCATCCGGGATGATGCTGGCAGTGCTGGGGGTGTCGTCCAGTATTAGGCATTTTGGACCCTTTTTTGGACGCTGCGGGGCGCGAATCCTTCGCTCCTTATAAGGGTGGGCCCAGCACAAAATGTATGCGCATGATCGGCGCATGGTCGGCGCATGGTCGGCGGCATGGGGCAGACGGCCTTATACCTGAAGGTAAGCCCTGCGCGCTTGGCCTGCGGCTCACGTCCACAGCCGGCCACCGGGCACCTTGCCCTGCATGTCTTCCCTGCATGTCCGACAGTTTCCTGGCATGTCCCTTCAGTTCCTTTCGCTTCACTTCCGTTTCAGCTCCCTTCATTTTTTCGTGAACGCCCCGTCATTCGCATTCCTTTCCGTTCTTTTTAGTTCCCGTGACTTCAGCCTCGCCTCCCATTTCACGTCAGTTTCCTGCACATCCCTGCATTTCTTCTCTTCAGTTTCTCTTCGTTTCCCATAATTTCCAACAATTTCTTTTCGTTCCCGTCCTCCGCTTC